GCTCTGCACAGCTGGAAAGAGAGGTTACGCGAGCACCTTTTTGCCCCCAGATCGCATCACTCCCAGCCTCACCATGCCCAGCTCTCCCTGCAGGGCCAGGGCGCTGCCACCACCGTGCTACCGCTACCACCATACTCTAAGCATAACCAGCTTCCAAACTCTGGAGATCTGCTGCCGAGTCTTCCAGCAGCGGCCGCTCTGGGACTACGCTATATGGTTGTGGGCTGGCTGTTGGAAGACTCTGGTGGTAAATGAACAAATATAAATTTAGGAAATCAAATTCATCTCAATATGCAAACTGTAAATGAATAACAATTTGTCCTGGTATCCTACACAATCTACTACATGTACATATTCAAATATTCATACACCCGTTCACAAGTGCACATACTCCCCTGTCTCATATACCATGCAATATACTTACTTTGCCATTACACACAAGATGCAGCGTTTTTTACTATGTGTAATGCCAATAATACTAGGAAATTTGATGGTGGATGATACCTGTTAGCACCATTTGCCATGGGTTACATTTCTACATAAAATTTGAATCTTGACTGAAAGTTGGGGCAGCAACTTGAAAAGGAATTATGGCCAAAACCTCCAGAAAACTTGTTTTTCTACAAACCAAGATAAAACACAGTATGCAATTGAGCTTCTACATGATGCTATTCCAATATTGAGTCAAGAAGCAGCCCTGCACAAACTGATTTATCACATAATGGCCATTGCCAAAGTTATGTAGAGCATAACTTTGCGTTTACAGCATGCTTTGCCTTTTGGACAGAAGAAATCAAAATGATCAGTCCATCCACCACCAGCGGACAAATGATATTAGATTAAATATGTCATCCAGAGTGCATTAGTTTAATAGCTAAATAACAATCCCTTTACAAGAAAGAACATTTTACAATATCTTCTGACTGAAATATAGATTATGGTCACTGCTTTTAGTAATGCTGTGGGTTTAAGTCAGATATATATTTTGAGGTCTAATTTTACAGATTAAAAATTCTGTTGGTTATAATCTTTTTTTCCACATCTACTAAAGTAATCGTTAGACTTTCCCATCTTCCCCACTAAAAATGAAACTCTCACAGGATTTTTTCTGCATCTTTCATTCCCATTAAATGTTAAAGTTCAAGGAAGGAACAATTTAGGGATATTTTTAACATTTTGGTAGCTCACTTTTTAACTGACAAGGGGGGGGGGGAACAGTGATCTCATAAATATAATCTTCATATTGTGTAAAGAGAGTCATATTTGATATAGTTTCTATTTTCCATGTGATGATAAATAGAAATAGAATGCAGTCCTTACAGCAAATCATATATTATTAATCTAGCTAAGTATATATACTGACTGCCAGTGGTTTTTTTAGGTTTCAAAAAATAACATTGTTTCAATCCAAATATTCTAGGGATTAAACCTGGAAATCTGCAAAGTATGTTGTAAGGAGTTTATCCCCAGACTAGCATAATGTGGTATCAGATCATAGAAGCTGTATGTTGGGCATCAGGGTAATTGTTTCAGTGCTAAGAGTACTCACATGGACCTTCATAGCTGAAAGCTCTTAGCACCGATTGCAGATGCTAACCTATTTCAAACCAATACTACCTAAGCTGATGGCTATGCAAAATACCTTACCACATAACTTGGTGCTTGTCTATTTCTCTGCCTTCTGCTTTCAATCCAACAGCATCAATGTTCTATGAGGATGCGCAGTCAAGATCTAGCTCAGGAAAAAAATCTACAAGTGAATAAATAGGAGCAGTTAGGTATGATCCTATCATGTTCTGATTCTAGAGTGTGATTCTTCAAAGTCAGATCTGCCTGTTGCTTTAACCAGCTTTCCCTCTTCCTTCAGGAACAGTTCATAAGCATCTCAACTATATTTTCTCCATACAGGACACTTTTGATGTGGGATACGTACATGTAAACCCATGAAGATTTAAATTTGTAATGATTCCTTGAGAAGCTTATACACTATGCAAAATAAAAATTGTAACTTTTTCAAAGTAAGAACAGAGGAATAAGTTTTACTTTTAGGCTTGACTTTTCCTAAACCATTCCACAGAAGAAAAAAAGCAGGGAAATAAAAATAATAGTGCTATTTCTATGATTAGTTAGGGGATACTGTCAGGAAAATGTACATTCATAGTATAAAAAGGTTGTTATATGTTCTCTGCTATAGTAAATATGCACAAAACATAAATAAAAGCTATAGGAACAGCTTGAGAAAATACAGTTACTGCCATTTTGATAGGCAAAATACTGAAGGAATTAAAATAAATAAAAAACTAATGTAAGGGAGGAAATGATTTAATTATCAACAGTCATTTGGAAAATTAAGGAAAAAGATTTTACAGGCATTGAAGGGCTCCTGGGCTTGTAAATTACAATTTGTTTATGGTATATATCTATCAAAATAGAGAAGTAATTTTCATCTTCCAAAGAAAATAATAACTACATTTATTGAATGCAAAGACATAAAAATATATTAGATTATGGTAGCTGTCCGTGTCAATATATTTATCAAATTTATACACTGCCCATCTCACCTTAGTGATCCTGGGAGGTTTACAAATTAAAAAAAAATATGGCAATGTAAAAAAATTAAAAACAGAGTTAAAAACAGAGTTAGAATAAAGTTAAAATTAGAGAGAAGAAATTTAAAGAAATGTAAAGGTTGAGAAGTTAAAGAGGTGTGGGAAGTGTTCTCAAGCAATCAACCATCCTAGATTGCTTATCACTCTTAGATCCCTTTACCTTGGGACTGCCAAATGGGCAGGGGTTGGAAAGGAACACTTTTGGTCGAAGGCTTGGATGTCGAACCCAGGCTGTCATTTTTCCAGCTGACAAGCTCAGCGTCTTTAACTGCTAAGCCATCAAGCCTGTATTTACAAGAGTAAGCTATTGATAATGTACTCTGCAGTCATTATTTTATTCAAGGAGTTTCTCCTACAAATGTTATTTATTTTGACCTGGTAAATCATTATTGAGAATAAACCTAACACCATCTTTGAATGACAGCACAAGAACCCTAAGTTAAATATTTGTGATGATCAGCAATTGCATAGCTATGATTTTTTATACAATTATTTATATTTGTTCATTTTCCGATATGGAATTATTTTGGTTTATTTTCAACTTTCCACTGAACATCACATGCATATGGTAAAATGGATTTTTGGAGGGCTTATAAAGAATGTGGTTTTCATAAAATACAATGTAAAACAAATTAAGGGTGTGTTGTGAATTCCTGTTTTTCATATGCTGAGACATATACAGTACTTCTGTAAAAATTACAGGAGGCTGACATGGAATATTTTTTCAATTCATAGTCACACACAAAAGAACTCACTGTCATAAAGATTTAAAAGGCAGGAGCCACAAGTTTCCTGACTAAGAGCCATATTTTGTTTGTTCATTAAAATGAAATAAATACTTTAAACACACAAACGTGGATAAACATTTCACAGGAAGGCTGACCATGCAAAGGAGTTCCACTCGCAAGACTCATTGGAGATCACAGGGGGTAATTTTCATGCTCTGTGTATGAATCATTCTTTTTATTATGTACTTGATGAATTTAAACCAGCATTAGACATCATGGAGTGATTTTTCTCCATAATATTATTGATATTATATGTTATTATTTGCATAAGGCTATCTGCAGTCTGAAAGACTTTCCACAATTCTTTTTCACTATGTACAAGCACTGATATTTCCTTTTTTAATATGTATTTGAGGAAGGTATTTATGATTCTTAGTCTTATGGCTAAGAAGATTAAAAATGGCTTTGATCAAAATGTATCTGTAATATGTTGTAAATCAAGCTTCCTAAGATATCATGTTATTTAGTTGTTTTGTAGCAGGGGTTATGAAAAACCTACACAGATCCTTCCCCTCAAAAACACTGCTTCTAAAAGGCTGGGAAAAATAATACCTCTATGTTAAAACGGCAGATACCAACCCACAATTTTCCCACCCACTTTCAGTTCATCTTTCAAGAATTACTTTAACTAGCTTTGTTCTGACATATGTCTCTTGGAGCTGAGATATAAAGATGCATGATCCTGTGTGAAATCCTGCTCTGTTAACAGCTTGTGTTCTTCATTGGCTCACTCCCACTCCATCTCTTGTTCCTGTGTTACAGGAAAAGCCGTACCAATGCTCTGAGTGCAACAAGGCTTTCAGTCAGAAACGTGGCCTGGATGAACACATGAGGACCCACACAGGAGAGAAGCCATTCCAATGTGATGTGGGTTAAGTTTCCTTTTGACATACTTATGTTTAATTTACAATTGAAACCCAAAAAGATTTCCCTTTAAGTTGGGGATCCTAAACATACTGACTTCTTAGTTGTAAAGCAGGAGTCTTCAACCTTGGCAACTTTAAGCCTGGTGGACTTCAACTTCTGTAATTCTGGGAGTTGAAGTCCTCCAGGTTTAAAGTTGCCAAGGTTGCACACCCCTGTTGTAAAGCATTTGGATTTTCTTCTGCTAATTACTTCACTGCAACTGCAGCATTTGCTATTGTTCCATAAAGTGATTTTGCAGTCCTTTTTTGATCATTAAGAGGTTAATTATGTTAGCTCAAGGTTTGTTTTTGTTATGCTGTGGACAGTCTGTACATACAGTATACTTACTTTATGGCAATCTTCCCTAAAATATTGTTTGCACCATAGTAAATGGAAAGTGGATAGTTTAGTTTATTTGAAACAGATCTCACTTTGTATTGAATATAAGTTGCAGTGTAAGAGTTGGGTGAATCTGAACAGAAAGTTATTATTTTGCAATAGATATGAAATATATAGTAGTATTCTTGTGTTTGCCCATTCAGAACATTTACTGGTTCTTGTTGATCTGCTCCCAGGTAAGTGTGCACAGGGCTGGACTTGTATAACTTATTTCAAAGAACTTGAACAGCTATATCTAACTCTACTCTTATCAGCTGTTTTATCAGAGATTTTTAAATATTTTAAAACTTGAATAAAAATTCTTTCATTTTCAAATAAAAATTCATATTACCATATCGTGTGTGTGTGTGTGCATGTGCGTGCGTGCACTGTTTTATTATCTTGGAGCATTTTTAATCTTTTGTAACAAAAAATAACAGTATTTTTTGATGTTTTACAGCTATTATGATCGACCACTTTCTTAGGATAATAGCTAGGTGATAAATATAGATAGATAGATGATAGATAGATAGATAGATAGATAGATAGATAGATAGATAGATAGATAGATAGATAGATAGATAGATGAGAGATAGATAATAGACTTAGTTCTTAATCTTAGTGTTATTTAAAAAACAAAATGAGTACAAGCCAGCACCAATACATATGTATGCATTTATAAAAATAAATCAATTTTCAACATTTTCTTATGGGTGGTTTCCTTATACATCCTGTTCAGTTCTTACTTCCTGTGGAAACCATTTTTCCTTTCTCAAAAGCACTATTCAGAGCATCACAGAGTCTTCAGAAATTTAATGTACATAAAGGTACATACATTTTATACCATTAATTTGGCTCATTATCTTGTCTGCTTTTTTATATTAGAGCTGAAAAACTGGGTCTCAAGTCTATCAGAATCTTGCACACGGGTTAAAGAAAGTCACTGCAAAGCACTGTAGCACACATGCTTTTACTAATATTATTATTCATTATAAATAAAGCTCCATGAAATACTCTATCAAAGAAAATATTTTGAACCTTTATTCCACAACATATTTAAGGGGGTCAAGAAAGGGATGGTAAGCATCTTAGAGAAACTTCAAGGAGGTATTGGGCTCAGTTGGGTACTTTGAGAATACTAGCTTTAATCTAAAGAGGCTAATCCCATAGAGAGTTAAATTAACTTCATTCAGGGAGTGGCTGACTGGGGTTTATAAACCTTTTTCCAAATAAGAGGCATCTGCAGAGTCTCCTGCTTTTATCAAAACAATGAAATAGTATTATGATCTATTACTTTTACATTATATCTGCATAGGACATCACAATGCATATGTGAAGTAGTGGAATTTATACTCTCCATCTCTGGGTTCAAGTTCAACATTCTCTTAAACCCCCTCCCTCCAGCAGATGCTTCTGACCAAATCAGTGCAAATGATCTATCTGATAAGAAGGATATTCTTAATGTAGGGGTGTCAAACTCCCGGGGCCCAGATCCGAACTGTGGGGTAAGCCAAGATATGGCCCCCACGGCCGCTCTGGAAACAGCAAAGGATTGGCTGGTGGTGCCTCTGCCAGCAATAATGGAGCTCAGGAGAACTTTGTGCAGCCCTCCCGAGCTCTGTTTTCGCTG